TTTTAACGAAGGCGGTAAAATAGAAAAAAGTAACTTTTTTGCCGTAGGTATTGATTGCTAGCTGCAGCTACAGTTCTATGTATCTATAAAGCACTGGTTTTGATTGACAGCAGAATGAAACTGACGTTCGTTAATAAGTTAAGTGAATTTAAAAATACTTGCAACAGACCAATTACAAGCAGACAAACGCTTCGTCATATATACACAACTTATTTTCTTAATAATTTCATTCTTACCCTTAGTTAAATCCTTCAAATACTTTCTAAACAATGAATACTTCACATAAAATGCTTTTAATGATTTAAAACTAATTACATAACAGTTTTAAGTGAAATAATTACGCAAGTTAAGTGGATAATTTAATGATTACGTTTGAAGCGGACGCTATTGGTAACTTGGAATGCATTGCATATCACGCCGCGGTCACTTAAGGGGAGAGAGGTGGGGATTGGGGGAGGGCAGGTGGGCTACAGGTTCGGGAGCCGATGTCCACGTATTATAGTGGCGGGAAAACGAGTAGCGACACTCCGGCGACAAATTGCACTACATCCAGCAACGTGAGAATAAAACGAATTGGTCTCGTCTTTGCATGCTGATACATGCATGCAAGCAATTAACATTCATACTCTTTTGATTGTTCCTAATATTATTACTTTTTAACTGTTAATAATTTTTACTATATAATAAATATTTTTTACCGAAGATTAAAAATAAGATTTATGTCGAGTTTTCAATGTCCAAAAAGCGGCCTGTCGCATGTAGAGTTTTGCTTAGATGAGAAATTAATCCTAAGTGACTCCGAAGATGAATTGTCGAGTCTTAGTACGGCAGATAAGACGATTTAAAATCGTCCATACACATAGAATTGTCTATTGTTTGTGTTGTAAGGCAAATAGTTGGTTTTAATTAACGGAAAGTCATTAGTTAGTCCGGCGCGTTCGATACAATGGAGGCGCGGGCGTGTCCGCCAAGGGCCGCATCTACTTGATTGCTTTATGCTATACTAGGTCATCATTTATTCCGAATGGTACTCTAATACGCTAATGTTTCATACTTAAAACCTTTCACTGAAACAGTTTGATGTAGAGATTGAGAAGCATGACTATGTTCTTATACAGCTGTTTTGGCAATGGAAACGCACGATGATTATGCCTAAATAGATATTTATGAATATCTATTTAGGCATAATCATCGTGCATTGTGTTTTGTTCAGGTCACTAGTGTCTGCTAGGTTTTTATTAAATTATTTAAATTGTACGTTAAATTTAAATATGTAATTAAAAGTACAGTATTATTACGTTAAACAGACAGCTGTGGCGAAAGTTATCGTAGTGATTAGCATACACGCAGCCGGTCGGAACAATGCGATGTGCGCGTCATGAAACAGTCGCGCAATTGAACGACGAGCAATTTACAAGAGTGATTGTTTGTCGTGCGCGGAATTAGGTCACTAGGAATGTCAACAAGAGTCCTTCAAATTAATTAAGCCAGTTTGTAAACTGGGAACTTGAGATACAGTATTTCAAGTGAAAATCAATTTGTATAAAGAAAACGCTAAATAATGTCATATAAATTACCATTAAAGAACGAAACTAAAATAATAGAAGGTGCCAAGTCTTTTTACTTTTCAATCAAGAAAGACGAAAGATTTTTCATTGTTCTTTTTAATCTTAAAGCTTTTGTATATACTAGACTAGGTTAGCTCTCGACCTTCTTTCAAACATGACGAAGTATTACCCCTTGGTATTGTTCGCTTGGCTAAAGGCGGCAGAAAACGCGAGCCGCGTGCCAACTAAACCTTCCAACTTATTAAAAATATAACAACCGAGGCATTACTTTTTTGTCATTTTAGAGTCACAGTCATCATATTTTTGTAGGTTCACCCCTCACAACATATACCGCTTTATTTGAAAACACTTTCTGATATTCTTTCTTTCTTCTAACTTAGACAATGTAAACATTATACAAGTCTTATACTAAGTAAGAATTGTATAATCTTTACATTTTTCTTCATATTTAGATGCCATTTCTATAATTATTGCAATCATCATCACCTCTTCTACTCTATCCTACTGGCTCGGGTCGGCACACCGGGTTTACGTCCAAATAACTCTATCATCCGTCATCTCAGTCATCTTTTCCTTCTTGATTACGTCACCTTTCACGCAAGTCATCCATCTCTTTCTAGGCATATTCCTACCGGTATATCCCTCTTTGTAAAACAATCCTTTCTTATTATTTCTTTTACCTCTTTTTAGTTTTTTAGAGTACTGGGTGTTGCAATGCTTGTCATAATTTGACGTTTGAGTGCTAATGTGATTGCACGCCGAGTGGCACAAGGCCAGTGGTTTGCGTGTCGCGTGGCCATGTATCACTTTAAAAAAATAAATACACAGTACAAAGGGTTTGATTAGCTATATGTTTCATGGCGCATAGAAAATAATATGGTATAGGAATAGCGTAAGGGGGAGATTGTTGATTGTACGTTAATAAAATATGTTTTTAAAAACTAATCCACAATTTGGTAGGTATTATTGTGTTAATTAAATTTAATATTTAAAGCATAAGTAAGTTTTTAATGTGGTCAATATTAAGTCTTTGTCAAGTGTAAGAAAGAACCCTATTTTCGACCGACTTCCCGAAAGAAGGAGATATTTAATTCGTCTGTGGTTTTTACTTTTTCTAAAAAAAAGATCCAATTCAAATGGTTTTTATGTTTAACAAACTTGTAACAGATCATGTTTTTGAACAGTCAAATTAGCAAACACGTATTGACAGCGATATATTTTAAAAAGGGGAAGGTTCGCTTATTGACATGTGATAATATACTCTCCGGCTGTAAATTGAGCGTCTATTACCAGGGGCGCGTTAACGCACCAGTTACTTAGTGCACGCCGAACGGCTGTTTCCACGATTTGTCCAAACACGATGTCTTAGTGTTGTGTACTTACGAAAACTGTTGACGATTTTTATTTTATCGATCTTTTATTTCTTGAAAAGTTTTCAAGTATCATACTTTGTAATCAGTACTTACCATAGAACAAATTCGTGACTAAAGTCACTGTAAATTATCTAAAAAGATATGTATTAAAAGACATAATTAAGAACCTTGTTTCTTTCCCAAGTCAATAAAAAATAAACCATTTAGATACAATTAATCATCCAACAACAGAGTTTAAACTCCGTACATCTGTCCCGTACATTTCGATTCCCTATGCTCGTTTAATATCGATGTCTATGTTTACTGACACAGTACAACACTATTCCTGTCTGGCTCACATTAATTTAGCCTGTCCGCTCGTCGTGTGGATAACATGTCACTTATCAATCATGCGTACATGACACCCAACTAATGTATGGGGATTGTATGTATTGCATGATTCTAATAAATTACCCTTGTACTAATGCCAATTTAGTTTTGTAAATTTGCATAATTACGATTGTATTTAGAACTGAATAATGATGTATATTGTTAACGTGTTATCATTTTGGATGTTTAGTAGTCTAATATTCATTTGTTTAACATGATTACAGAATATTTTGCATATATACGAGTATGTTTTATTGTTCCAAATAAGGTTTTCGTCTATTATTTTTATAACTAGAGCCAGTGACTCTAATCGCAGTTTCCACTACAATTTATATGAAAGCGTATTGACATCCCTGTCATATCTTTTGAAAAAACTGAGATAACAGCATGTTTCGTACGAGCGTTTTGTCAGTAAAACCAAGGGTAACAATAAATGCACGCACGAAATAGAACAACGTAAAACGGATAGAGAAAGTAAAACCTCGCTACTTTCTAGACTTTCTACTTTACTAAATAGGCCATAGATAATTTCAGATTATTACTAACATATTAAATTATTAGAAAAGTAATTGTAGTCTGTTTGGAAAATAGGCACTTACAGTAATAAGTTGTTAAGTTTCAGTATATTAAATTATGTTATATTTTAAGCATCAAATACGTTCAATATAAAAATAGAACAAAATCATAACTTTGACGAAATTTTTCTCGAGGAAAATGTTTTCAGTTCGTGTTTTTTTTTTTAAATTTGTGTAGTTGGCCAACATTTCCATGTACATATCATTGAATTTCGCAATGCAGTGTTATGTAATCGTCATTACATAACACTGCATTGTTAAGTTAAGTTAAGAATCGCTAAACTACGTCTAGTTTAGCGATTCTTAACTCGGTTACGGTATTCACGTTTTATTACATTTTACTTGAGTTGAATATGTAGCGATTAACTTACTTTATATTAAGTTAAAAACTTGATTCTTAAACGGTTGATTCTTAAAGAAAACCTTTTTACGTATGTATGTCTCTGCTTAGCTACCGTAAAAAGTGATTTTTCACAATTTATTTCTCAATCTAGCTATCTTTATTGTCATTTGTAGTGTTTAGTATTTATTTATTGTATATACAAACGTGTATTATAAATTGTGAACAAAGAAAAAAAACTCTCTTGTTGATAACTTCTATTGGTGTCAGGTATGTATAGTTTGTTTTTAAACTGTACACCTGCTTCAAGACAAAGGCGATATTTCACTTGTTAATTTGTTTAATTATTTAAGGAGAACTTGTGGTTAATTAAAGGTGTTTACATTATTTCATGTTTAAATAACTGCCTACAAGGCTGAGAAACACGTAAAACCGTTTTTTATGTTTGTTTTGTAAATGGACCTTTTATAATTCTTAATAACTCTGTAATGGAGTTAAAATGAAACAATTTCTTATTGGGTATTGCGTTTGTACACTTACATTGTACTGCTTACTTAAGATTTCACAACGAGTTTAAAAGCAGCGATTACGTTTTGTAAATTCTATAAAAGTATGAATTACTCGGTACTAATTAAAACACCTTTTTTATGCGACTTAAGTTTTTGTTTACTTTGGGCTTGGAAAATGGAGTTAATAATCACACAATATGTTTTGTTAAAATTTTTAATCACCAGCTTTTGATTATTGATTGTTAATCGACAATGTTATTGTTCAGGTGGTGAGCAAGCAGTACCAGCCGGCATCGGGGGCGGAGTTGACGAAGTTGTGCAACCACAAGCGGAAACTGCTGGCGACGCTGCAGGCGCGCGCGCACTCGCCCGCCACTCCGCCCCCGCTCCAGCCGACGCACCAGCCCTCGCACACTCCGCACCAACCCCACCATAACATGGAACAAAAGAAAGGTAAGCAGTTAGCCATTGGACCCAATTATATTATACAAATCCAGCATTGGATTAGAATACTGGACTGGATTAATGAAATCTATTGCGTTGAATTTACTTACTTTCATTGCTGTATGCAGAGTGGTTTAATGATTATTTAAGCAGTTATTTAGAGTAGAACTTGCATAGTAAATCTAAACTAAGAAAGACCAAGGTAAATCTACTTTATTTTAACTCCGTTTTGTTTGCAATATTTCATTACTTACGTCATTAAGGCAAGAAAGCGTGACAATACCTACATTTGTTCGCTTTTGTGATGTTAGATTACTCTAGAAATTTCAGATTAACGTCATTCTAATTGGATTTTCATTGTTAGGCATGACATTACGTAGCAGGATTTTAACTTTTCTTCAAACTTTCTATTGCTTGCACACTATAAGATACTGCAAACAATTTACATTTTATAACTATCTGATAAACAAATTTGTTCTCAGTTTTGAGTTCGTTTATTTATCTATTAAAACATGAAGAAGTTCAATTTATCCAGCACGGGCATAATTTTGTCTTATTTGGAGTACTACTCCATGAACCTATTGTTGTTTTAAAGCGTACTGAAAATTTGTTAGCTGGTTTGGTTAATTTTTCAAAAATTACACATACGCGCTTACTTATACTCATCAATGTTACACTGTAGTCTTCGTCAATAAATTACCGAAGGAAACTCAATCTTCAATTTGCAACGTAAACAAGGCGAAATGAGATAACAATAAACAAATTATTATTCATGTAATGAGTAAGGAAGGGAGGAATGAGAGCAAAATTGTAGGCGACGTAACGAGGGGCTGAGTAAATTGCGTTTAGTGGTCTCACAAATAGCGTCCCGAAGGCTTTTGTACGTCACGGGACGGATTCTTAACCTTATTTCCTTTCAGCTAACGTCAACCTCTCGGATGTAGCATTGTAATTCGAGATGGTGCCGCTTACGTTTTGTTTTATATGTATTTATTTCGCTTCGGATGTTATTTGATGTAAGCGTATTTATCTCACACAATTTTATTAATGCTATTTAGATGGAAATTTCAATGTACCAATAGTGGCTTGAAATATTTACAAAGCGTTTTTAATCTGTATTCTATTTGCCATCCAAATTTCATATCGCAAGACTTTTGCTCTTGAAACTGGTAGTTGTAGTGCTTTAACATGATTCTTATTTTGATTTAAAAATCTACAAACTTTTTATATACCTTTAACGTTTTATTTCATTGTGAAGTCTTTCTTTATTCTATGTTTCTCGTTATTCTTCAAGATGTTTATTTTAAATTGGAAAGACGTTGTAGAAATGTAAGTGATTTCTTCGCGCGACTGCTCTCGACGCCCCGTAGCGCGAAGATATTATATATTCAGACAAGAGTACTAAAGCGTACTTTAACACCCTGCAATACTGCATACTAGAAACTTGGTGTACTTTTATATCGCTTTATTTCGAATACATGAATCTTTGAACGATGTTTTCATCTTATGTAAATTGGTGTTGAATATTTTGTTGTGTAGACTTATTTGGGATTGAGATAAGAAAAGTTTTACTTTTAGTAATACCAAGTCCATCAACTAACAATGTCTATTATATGCAGAGTAAAATAAACCTAATGAAATAGTTTATTAGGTTTATTTGACCATTTTCTTACTTTTTATTATTTTAGTAATACGTAGCATAGAGTTTGGTCAAGTGTCGATGTGATTTCAAGTCTATGAAGGTTTTAGCCTAAAACAACTTGAAGTAAGGCGCCATCAAAACAATTGGTGCATTCCGGCGACCGTTGTGTAATGTTGAAGTTTAATAAAGTCGGTGTCCGCAGTCCGCCGCGCCCGCTGCCAGAGGGAGTATTATTATCCGATTAGCGGGCGGGTGTTCCGGGCGCAATCTCCGCGCTCCGGCCCTCGCCTTCATCCAATTACCCGAGTGTGAACCCGATGCTATTAGCCGGCGAGCGCCGGGAAGCGTCGGCAAGCGCCGGGAAATGCCCCGGACCGATCCCGACGACGTACCGATGCGATCCGGGGTTTTCCACGCCGCCCCTAATATGCTTTAGATTGAATGAACTTTGACACCGTTTCTTTGTACAACATGCTATTAACTTTATTAGCATATAAAGATCACATTTTCATTGTTTGAAGATATAGTTTGCAGAGAGAGACAAGTATTAAATGATTTTGCATCAATTGAGATTGTAATCGTATTTAACTTCAAACCACATATACATGTTTATATGAACATCTAAGTGTGCTTCATTGGAAGCAGGTAATTAAACTGAAGTTTGTACTGGTAAGTACTAAAGCAATTTTACTACCATTTTATAGTTTTGAATAACGATTTTATCTTAACATCTTTTTCATTCTTTTAACGCAACCATTGTTCAACCATTAAATAAAAAAAAAAAACAAATATGTACTCTGGCGATAATAATGGCGTATGATAAACTAACAAAGGAAATAACTTAATAGGGAGAGCTCTGCAAGTTAAATTGTTGCTATCTATTTCTAAGGAGCACTGAAAAGTGGTCGCTTGGAAGAGCGAGTTGTTTCTTATAACAAAGAGGGGTAGAGTCGGCCTCTTTGTTGTTAAGTGGCAGCGGGGAGGGTGCGCGGGGGCGGAGGTGCATTTAGTGCGGCATGAATAGCTTGCAACTGCACTTCGTCAGTGCGGGAGTAACAACCTGGCCATCCCCGCCCGCCCCCGCGACCTCCTCGCAATCCGGCTCGCCACCCCCGCTAGCAATAACAGTTTTTAATATGCAAATCGGTTCACGTTTCGCGTGCTTTACCTTGCATTACCCCTTGTAACATAACGCAAACACGGCCCACTTGAACTGTGACACGACTTCACGTGCACGGCCCGCTCTCTCCCTACCTCGCCTCGCCCCAAAACACCTTTTTTGAGTTTCGGTGATGTAATTTGGAACTTGAATATCTTATAGTTACCGTAAATATTTTTTAGAAGTAAAACATAATGTGTGCTCCTACTATAATCGTAGACCTATCTACATAGGAGGTACCTTCATTTTTTACTAAATTTTAAACACTTTTTTGATAGCTCATTTTAACAAAGGACAGATAAACGTTTTGAGACAATAAAACTCGTTTAAAACAGATTGCCATTAGTGCATCTCTATGACTACCATACTTGTAATAACCCCAGGTACTTATTGCAGTGTAAGTACTATTTGTATGCAGCGTTGCTTGTAATGGCTGGCATCGTGTCGGCCGATTGCGATCGCGCCACTTTGTTCAATTAGCTGGCTAATAAACCTAGGCCACTCACTGATTGCTCCACGCCGATTTGCTCATTACTCAGACAAATAGAAAATGGGCCATCAGATACAATTCACGCACATTGCATATAAACATAAGTTTTGTGGACTTAACGATGACAGTTATATCTTATTGAAATGAAGATACTATTTAGTCCCTATCAATTACTATGATTGTAAATTTGTAATTTACACCTCAACTAAAACTATAACTATTTTGTAAAACTTGATTTAATTAATCATTCAATGACATTTAAGATTTTTAAGGTCAGTTCAACGTTACATCGTTTAACCTTCCGATAACTTTCACTTCTAAGTTTTGATAATTTGGATTATTACAGTACACGTGTTGTAGATTTACTTATCTCATTATACTTAGGTCTTTATTTTAAAAGACTGTACTTTATGAAAGCATTCCCAGTTTAACCTAGTACACCCCTTGTTGTTGTTTTCCTTCAATTTCTGGCTCTAACGCCCCGCTTACTTAAAACTTTCTCGTTAAATTGATAAGAACGGCGCTCACTCCATTCAGCTATCAGATTGGACTCGGATTTAAATTTTAGTCTTAAATTGGGGAAATGAAAATCTTTCATAAAGAGGGCCATATTGTTTAAAAATAATAATTGAAAGAGATGGATGGATTGCGTGAAAGCTGACATGATCAAGAAGGGAGTGATGACTGATATGACGGATGATAGAGAGTTTTGGAGGACGAAAACCCGGTGCGCCGACCCTACGGGAGTAGGATAAGGCAGGGGAGATGATGATGATGATGATTGTTTAAAAATAATCAAAACCAATAATATAACGAACAGTTTTAAGTAACTATCCCACTATTCGTAATTTTAGTTAGACACAAACCCATTATTACGCCTCATCGTGTTGACATTCTTAATTCTATACGTTGAACAAAAGTCATAACAACTCTAAGTATCTAAGAGCAGCGTTCTCAATAAGAAGATAATACCCGCAAAGAAGATTAAGCTGGTGAGACTGGACGCAACGGCTGGTCGGGGAGCTCCAGTGGCCGCAGTATTGCGTAATTACCGTAAAGGAAGTCGAACGTTTAAAGCAAACAAAACGCTGGCGACTCGATCAGCGGCGGGAACAAAGGGCGGGCGTAATTTGAAACAATCGGCGGCGCGGAGCGGGCTCGGGCGCGCACCCCGACGACTATTGATCTGACGAGTCGCGGCCGTGCACCCCCGGCGCTCCTCCCTCCCCGCCCGCTGACACCCCCTGCACCCCCGGCGCCTCGGAGACCACCCCCGGCTCGCACAACCAGTATTTTAATTGCAAATCTGCCAGATAATGTGCAAATAGATAACGGCATTATACTCGGCTCGCTAACTAATTATGGAGCGCTATGAAATTAAGGCCGGCATGCTTTCGAGCCTTACAACCTTCTTTACGCACCCAACTGTTCAAACGAGAACCGTTGGTAAACGATACTGTTATGAGGAAGCAATGGAGTCGTTTGTGTATTATGAAGTAACATTTGCTGGCTATTGTACAAGGGTGCTTGGTGTTGATTTGATAGTGATTATTGATTTGATATCTATATTCAATACATTATTTACTTTACTCGTTTAAACAACAATAACACAATGATTTTTTAAATAAAGAAATAGTTATTTTATGTATAATCTAATCTTAAATTGTTTGGTTTGCAAACTTATAAATGTGTAATAAAATAAGCAATATAATTTAATTTGTTCCTTGCTCTCGTTTCGGGCCTTTGTTCGACATGACCTATTTACAGGGAATTCCGTCGTTCGCCTCTATAAAGCGGGGGTATAACAATATTATCCGCAATTAATATTGATGTTGATACGCCGCGGTCAATTTCAGTTAATAGCTTTTCAACCTATTTTAGGCTATTGTGTATTTTTATTCTTAAGGTTTATACGATAATCATTTAATCCGAAGACACTTAATACAATGAACAGATGAGGATATAAGGTATATGTTTTTGTTTATCATTGCTTTTTTTGTGTTAGTTACGTTTTGTTTTTTAAAAATAATTTAAAAATTGTACTAAATATTATTTTTCTCTTTTGAATTTTTCTATGTACGTTCAGTTCATTTAAGCGATAAGAATGTCAGAGGAATTGCTTTTTTTTACTGATCTTTCAGTAGATACGATTTATCGTTTTGTTTTATTGCAATAGAAAATCGACATTCTCGATTAAAGTAATATTTTTATGTAGATTAGATCAAAAGTTCTATTCGATCCAATATTTTATGGATATTTGCAATTCAATTACATTTAAATATAAAAGTTGAGCAATATCAAAGCAGTTTAGTCTGAACGCTGAATTGATGACATCGGACTAAGCTCTTTTCAGACTCCAATGAAAAATATCTCCGAGCGCTTCGGTAATAAGGACGTCTGGAGAGCGAGGCAAAGTCACGGAGACCGACCCTTAACCTTTTGTTTTATTAATCGTATACTTTATTAGCCAACTCTTTCTCAAATTTTTACTTTGTTCGTTGAAATCCGAAACCACTCAAAGTAAACGATTGTTTTCAATTTTACTTTTAGAATTTGTTTGAGAAAAGTTTCGCGTTAATCCGAACAAGATTAATAAACTTTTTTTATGTATCCTTTATACCTTTTAATAAAGTTAAAATGTACTTAGTTGTTTGCTTTCTTTTTAGAGTTCAATTTATCTAATTTCGTATGGTTGGGCGAAGATGTTTTGAATTTGTATAAAACTACTTTTGTTTTATTTTTTCTTTCTTTACTGTTATTAGTGGTTTTACATGTATATAGCGAATATTTCCGTCGTTCAAAGATTAACCGCAACCATATTTAATACGTATAGTCATTTAACGCGGCCCCTTTTCATACAAATTGCTTGTTAAGTAACCACATTAACATTTCTGTAGCAAGAAAAACAAGGTCTTTTGTGTAGATTATATTTATAGGTTTTTAAAAATAACGTCATTATTATTCGATTAATTGGATTATTTAAATTGTTTAATCTCGTCAACAGTAATTTACACTAAGGAACTCCCTTAGTGACCACATTCGCTTTGTAAGGCAGAAAGCTAGCTTTACGTTACACAAATTTGACATAAACGATCTTTCAATGGGGTTATTATTGATATTAAGTTCAAATAAACTCTCTCCATAAACTTCATTAAGGTAATACTGTCTAGAAACTCTATTAACTGCGTAATCTCGCAGCCCTATAGCACAGCATCCATTTAAATAACGTGTGTGAATTGAAGCGGATTTAATGTCAGTCCGCTGTTCTGTTTGAACGAACTAATTGTGTTTTGTTTTAATTAATCCTCGATAGATTGCGCGCTTTATTTTATGGAAATTGTAGAGTTGTTTTTAACAAGGGCTTTTTACCTATAGTACGGTTAATGGTGTAGGTTTTAATTTATTACATTAAGACAGACTCTGAAAAACGAGGGCTTATGCTACTGTTGCGATAAACGTTTGTAACAAAGGAATAGAAGATCGTAAGGTACAATTGGACCTATTTTAATTAGGAAAATACATTTTTTATCTATGCGAGACAAAGTCCATTAGGATAAAGTAGGATTCCATATTTTGAAAAAATTTGCGATGCAATTAATTAAAAGTTACAAGTTTATTGAGATGTGTTATTATTCTAAAGTATGTTTATTACTTTTTCTAGAAGTTATTATAAAATACACTTACATTAAGCAAAGATTTTAATGTTTACTAATACCAATTTTAGGTGCAGAATTAGGTGGTAAGAAAAAGACGAAGAAGAGAGCCGGTTACATATCTAACATAAATATATCCCCGCTGCTGGCGCAAAAGGATAAAGCCCCCGGCGACTTTAAGGTACGTTACGCCTCAACATTACGTATTCATAGCTCTGATAAGGGTTGACTCGTTGCCAACACCGTTAACTGCAAACAGATTTTTTATTTATAGATTGTCATTGTGCATTTCAAACATAGATACAACTTCATGTATTTAAATCCATTAAATGGTTTAAGAATTATGATGTGTAAATCCAAAACCAATTTAAATATATGCATTTTTGTGATAACATTTTTCCCTTTCTGTGTTTGCTCAAATAATATAATGGTGTTACAGAATCAAGAGATGGAGCAAAAGCGCACCGTGTCCCCGGGCACAATGGTACAGCGCGGCGGTGCTGGCGGTGTGCAGACTTGCCCGCCCGGCTACATGCAGCAGAACATGCTTAATGTAGTCGGACCAGATGGAGACTACAAACAGGAAACACTCATACAGAGGAGCTTGCACTATCTCACTGTCAACAATGGCTGGATCACGCAACAGTCGGACAACGGCGAACCTCATAAACACAACCAACATTCTATCAATAACTCTGTAAATGTTGGTCTGCCAGTATTAGGCACTAACGGACAAATAATAGGAGTAAATACAGGATTCAATAAACAAACTACTAATCCGAAGAATATTATAAGTATCCCTTCGCAGAATATGATAGAACAAGATCACAAAGATGATAAAAAGGAGATGTACTCGCAAATGCATCAAATCAGGCAACATACAAAGGATGACGATTCGCAAGTTTTTTGCGGCTTAAATCAAGCTTTGACGCCAGAAGTGATGCAGAAGATAAACGAGCAACAGCAGATATTCATACAACAGAACCAGAAGCAAATAGAGATGGCCATGAAAGGCTTTAAACCACAACTAGCCGATAATGGCACCAATAAGCAGCAAGGGCAGTACGTTCCTCAAAGTCAACTGGTTATACAGAACGGGGCGGTAGTAAAAACTAATTCAGCCAAGACACCGCCCTGGCAAGTGAAGAGAAACGATGCTAATGCATCCATGACGAGTCCTAGCCCTAAGCCCCAAAAGATGGACAGTTTAGAATTTGACGAGCAGGGCGCAAGTGCTGTCGATGAATCGTCAAAAACCTTCAATTCATTCTCGGGTCAAGATAATATGTCCCAGGCAATGTGCCCACGCGTGCCGCCGCTACCTCAGCACTACAACATGATGAGTCAGCAGTGGCCGGCACTCGAACATACCAAGAAAAAGACGAAAGGCAACAATAAGGCGCCTAAAAAGAAATTTACCGCAAATGAGACCAAAACCATGTACGGTAACAACGGTGTGAGATATGTTCAAGATTCAAAAGGTAAAACATGTGAAGATGTTGTAATGAATAATGTTCCTTCTTTCATGGACGATCCCAACGGATATTTGGCACAACAAACCGTTTTACTAAACAATACCATTTCAAAACAAGTCGGCATCAGCTCCTCTTATGACAGTTCCCAATTTGACACTTCTACCAATTCGTACAGTTCTCATAGTCAAAACGATAAGCATTGCAAGCCAGTCAATAAATCAAGTGAAATGATTAATATATTCAAAAGTAATATGGTGCCAAATTCTTCATCTTCGCCAAATAACACACCGGACAGTAGCTTAATACCCGAAAAAGGTGCAGAGAACTCATTGTCACAGTGTTGTAAAGGATGTAATAATCCCTATAAGGGTAATTGCACGGACTATCACGAAAATCATATGCGGGCGAAATATTTGAAGCATAATATGTCCTCAATGGAGTTAGATCCGAGGACTTCTAGCCCTAAACATGGATTCGATGACAATCCAGTGACGTCGTCCACTTTTATTGAGC